TTGGGATCGCAACCGAATATGTTACCAATATACCCCTAGGGATCTTCTCCCTAAGTGTAGCTGAAAGAAAATTTCCCCCAGGTCTGGGAGAGCAATTAGGGACCATCATTCTTCCTTCTCAAGAATTTCTGAGGATAAGTAAAGAGAGCGATAAAAGAGAGTAATAGTAAGAGTGCTCACTATGTGTCAGGTACTGACAGGAGAGTTATACAGAGTATCTTATTAAAATTTTACTGCAATGTGCACGGATGATATAAGAAATATATTTTACTGCTGAGAAAGTTAATGCAATTGTCTTACAAGCATTATATAACATGTACTAGGTCATACTACTAGCACGTGACCGAACAGTTATTCAAAACGATATGTATGCAACTCATTGGCTGGATTTCTTCCACCACAACTGGCTTTACTGGGCCCCCACTCCATGACAGCTGATGACCTTGCCTCTTCTTCTGTAACCTCAACCTCATGTTCATACTTCTTCAAGCTGTGCATTTTCTTCCTAATTTAACTATTTTACTACAATTACTTAGATTTTACTGCCAATCTCACTTAATACTGGCCTTGTGCCAGACCCTGTTCCAGGTGCTAAATTGATGGTGACACTTTGTCAGAACAAAAGGTACCTCTCGACCCTCTTGTAACAAAAAATGTCTCCCTTTCATCAGGCTGCCTTATAGTAACAGTTTAGCAAAATGAATTCACTAACCTGTCTGGTTAGGCATCTTAACAGAAGAAATATTTGGGAGGAGAATAATACGTTGTTATAATCTGTAAATCTTGTTCAATAGACAAGTCGGCTTTGTCTTACTTTGGAGCTGGTCTTGGAAATGGTTAATCAGCCAAGGAATGCTTTTAGAATCAATCACTAAATATTTGCTTAATGTATGAACAACCTTGTGCGTGGTGCTACACCTACCTCTTCAGACAACTCTTCAGTTGTAGCTGTAATATTCATCTCTTCCCCAGTCACAGTTACAGTGCTTTCTAACGTGAAGGAATCTCCCTGAGAAGTAGAGTTTCTGCTCCTGCTTCTTAGTCTGGAATCTCCACTGAAATGCGTGAACTCGCTATTATTTCAAATATAGGGGTCATCGTTTCCGGCATCACAGGAGCACGCAAGCATCCACAGTATGGCACACTGACTGATGTATGGTGAACATTTCAGTTCCCAAGACCGAAATGTCCCTTAAAGATTTGCAGCTTTAATAATGGGAGGAACACAGTATCTTTGTCAGAAGCAATATGCTTTATTTGGTGTCTCAGTGGATGGTGAACTAGGTTCACCTACATGCTTATCAGATTTTTTTCAGCAATTGCCAAGTAATAACTATATGTGGATCTTGCATCCTGTGCCTTATTGTTCTACAACTCTAAAGGGAGATGCTTAAAAAGAAGGAAATAGTCTATGTGGTGGGAATTCTTTGCTGGTACTCACCATTAAGCCACTAGACTGCTGCACAAAAGGTTAGAGATTCTAGTCTACCCAGAAGTGCTTCATAAGAAAGACCAGGTAAAGCAAACATATACTCAATAGCAACTGGATCTGGCATATTTTGATCCAATATAATCCTCAAAACGAAACATGGATATTTCCCAAATTTTATAGATGGCTGCATTGGAGACCAGATATATTAGTTAAACTAGTCTCACAGAGTGCAACTATATAAACAATTCTTTAAGTAAATAAATTCTAGATTTTAGTCATATTTGATCTAAGTTGTTACTAAGCTGTACTCTACCCTATGAATGCCTGATTAGTTTATTGGAGTTTAGGCAGCAGGTGGGAAGGGAGGACAAATTAATCCACCCTCGTTCACGGTAATAAAAGAAATAAAGAAACATGAATCATTAGCACTTCTCTTTGCCTTTATGAATGTTAACACTGTTCTACCTCAAAACAGGCTTAAAACCTTGGAGCCATGTTTGCCCTTTCTCTCTTCATAACTGATTGGTTGCCGTGTCCTTTTGTTTCCTTCACTTACTGAGTGGCAAATACACTTTATGTGCACAGACCCATTTAATCCTCCAAAAATCCCCAATACTTGGCTGCTCTCATTTGTCCATTTTGCAGATGTGAAATGGCAGTTTGGAAGAGTTAGTTTGCCACAGCATGACATTTGTAGTGTTAGAATTTGAACCAAGGCCAACTCCAGAGTCTAGTTCCACAGTTGTGCATATTGCCATCGACCACAATGCAGGAGGGAGGGCCCTTTTGGCTCATAGGACAGTAGAAATATCCTTGTGGGTTTCTGAGACTGTAAATACTTTCTGAAGCAGAAAGCCTCATCTTTCTCCCTCAACGTGGCTGGCCATTTTAAATAATCTCCTTTGTCTGAATAGAGAGGCTGGTATTTGTTGATTTGTATTGTTTCTTCCCTAATAGTGTCTCTCGTATCCATCTTCTTTCTCGCTACTGTCAGCATCCTTGCTCATTGTATTTTTTGATCACATACTGATCGCCTCCTTCCCTCACATCTCTCCTTTTTCAAGTGGTCATCTTTCCAGCTTCCACCAAGCCTTGGAAAGTTTATTGCTGGACTGACTGAGGTCTGTAGCCCAAATGCCCAGTTCCAATTCCCAGGTCTTCAAGGTACAATGTGACTTTGTGCAAGTTACTTTGCAATTTTGCACCTCACTTTCCTTATCTTTGGAATGAGATTAAAAATGAGGTTTATCTCAGGATAATTTTGACTATCAAATAAGTCAATGCGTATATAGCTTTTGAAAAAAAAAATACCTGGCATAGTGTAGTTCATTAGAGCTAATAGGTATTATAAATAGCCTTACTTTTATGACAGTGTCCTTTTGGCCAAAGTATTTCTGTTGAAGCTGAGATAAATGGAAAAACAAAGCAAGACAAAACGCCGTGCTCTTTAGACTTGTAGGCCAAGAATTGAAAAGAATCGAGCCGAGTAAAGAAAAAAATAAGTAACATGATCTTAGAAAAGAAGACTGAAATCCCATTTAAGCTTAAATTTGAAATTACTTGTCAATCCAGGACCAAGGATCATTTGGTAAACTGTACCCCTTCCAAAGCTCGGCTAAAAGTGTAAGTATAAGGTATGGAACACCTGCTAAAAGTCACTCTGTGTATTTTTCACTCACCAGGGAGATTGTAAAAGTGCTCCCTAAATGTATAAAGTGTTAGGGAACATGCTTCCATGTTAATGACGGCCAGTTGTGAGGGAAAGGGATTAAAAACATTGGGGAAGGAATTGTAAATGTATCAGAGGCAGATATGAAGCCCCCCAAATATATAGAGAAATTAAGTTTCATATCTATATATATATGTATATAAGATCTCTTCATTCATCACTTTTGTAATACTTTGTTGTGATTACCTTTTAATATTATTTCATTTTCCTGGAACCTGCAGGGACTTTGGTCTAAATTTTGTACTTAAAAATACAAGGAAACTAATGAAAGTTCATGGGAAAATAGAATTAAAAGAGAATGGGATTTTTTCACAGACTTTAAAAATTTTTCTCTGTATAGCATGCACGTTATCCAATAAACCTTTTCTTTCACTAGTCTCTTGCTCCTCATCCTTCTTTTAGCATTTGTTACTTTTTCCTGTGGTTCGACTCTGTCTTTCTGTATGTGTGTTTGTATATTCATATTTATATGTAAATAAATAGGTATGTTGAAATAACATGAAGTTTATTCGGTGGCAGTGAGATCATGTACTTGAAGACATAGCACTAATGGAATAATAATTTTTAATATAAATGCACTTTTATTTTTTTGAATGGTCAATCCTTGTGATATATGTATGTACTAATATTTCCATCATAGCAATGGAAGTACAAAAGTAAAAAAAAAATTGGCAAACAGCTTCTGTCTAGGCTGGAAGAACATTTGGGTACACTATTTCTGTTTCTCAGAGCCCCAGGTGACCAAAGTTCCAATGACAAACCCCTCAAGGTTTTCCGCTCTGGTTTGAAAAAACAGTGATTGGTGATGGTTGTGGACTTTTCAGCTTAAAGTCCAGGAATACTGGAGAAGTATGTAGGCTAGATAAAACCCTTAGACACAAGAGGGCAGATCAGGGAAGTGCCAATTTTAGTAAAGGCACCTTCATCCTCTCTGAGCCTGAGCACAGGGACCTACCTCACTGGGCAGGATGTGAGGATTCATGCCTGGAGGCTGAACCCTGGCCCATGGCGCCTGTGCCACTCAGAACTCATATTTGAAGTGTAAGGTTGTAAGCTTTTGGGGGGTAGGTGGTGTGTCCTATACTTGTAGTGTGAGTTCGGAAACAACAATGGATAGATTTCTATAATGAAACTGGGAACATATAATTTTGAAGATATAAGAAACAAGTTAATTGAAGCCATGTTCAACATTTTTTAAAAACAAAACCAATAGAGAATTCATGAATGATATCATTGTGGTTGTACAATAATCTAATTCTTTTATATCAGAATTCTTCAAGTATGTGCCATTCTTTAGATCTTGATATAAGCATAAGCAATTAAGATATTTCCACAAATGGAGTTCTGGAGCTTAAAATTATTAACTGCTCAGTCAAAATGAGTTCACTGACTGTAGACAGTAAAGTAGTAGGTAATTCCTTAAGAAATATGGCTTGATTTATATTTTCTATCATGTCCATCTTGCATCTTTAATCCTCACAGCTACTAATTTTCAGATGTGTAGATTTTCCTAGTTAACTTGAAGGGAAAATCTTGACAGTTTGAATGCCATTAGTGGATCATGATTTTCCAGTTAATTAATTTATATCAATTTTTGACCTGAGTGATATTTTATTAATGCTATAAGGATTTATACGTTTAAAATCTGCACAACTGTTTTTTTAGGCTTAGGTATGCTTTACCATTTGAATATCTAAAATAAACATAAGGTTAAAAATCCTAGACAATTCATTTTATGCAGGAATTTGTATGCTGTTGTCTGTGATATTATCTCCAATAAAGTGATAACTGAGCAGGTTTTAAATGCGTCTTCTTATAGAGCATTCCTTTTTTTTACAGATGAGTTCAGTAAAAATGTTACAGCCTCGTCTCAATAGCATTCTTTTCAAGCTCACATTTGAAGAGCACGTAAACAACATCAAACCAAGCATCATAGCAGTGACTCTCGCCTGTGAAGAACTGAAGAAAAGCGAAAGCTTTAACAAACTTTTAGAGTTAGTTCTTTTGATTGGAAACTACATGAACTCTGGCTCAAGAAATGCACAGTCATTGGGCTTTAAGATCAACTTCCTCAGTAAGGTAAGATGACATTTTGTGATGCTAATTTATAACACTAATCTCCTTTTTGTCTAAAGGAGAAGTTATTCAGAATCAAAGTAGTTCTTCAACCACCAAAATATATGCTTCAGAGAATGGATTTTATGCTGTTGGTTGTAGCAGTTAATTCAAACAACTACGTTTGGGGGGAAACTGTTATATTGTTAAAATCCAATAGACTACTCAAATTTGTTCATGTTATTTGGTTCTCTCAAAGGGAAGATTGTATCAGCTATTGTTAAAGGAAGCAAAGCTGACTTTATCAAAAAGGGTATTGGAACTGGAATAAACATTGCAATGGGAAGGAGTAAACAACAAGAGACTGCAGCAGAAGTCTGGAAAGGTTTTGAAGTCTGAAGCATGTTAGAGGGAATGTGCTGGAGCACTGAAGACCATTTGAGGGAAGTTAAGCTTATGAACTTGTGGCATTATCTCTTCACATCAGTTAAGGGTAAATAGGACATATTCCATTTTAATTCAGTAAGGATCAGGGAAAGACACAAAATCAAGGGCACAGAGTAAAGACAAAGCCTGTCTAAAGTTCAGTCAGACTGAGTAGAATGTTAATATCAGCTTGATCAGCCATTTCCCAGAACACAAAAAGGAAAGGTGACATCCAGGATCTGAGGGCTTGGGTAAAATTCAACTTCGAAAAGTACTATCCTTTTAAATGTATTCAGGGTGAGTCAAAGTATTACTAGTAGGCTTCCAGCTTATAAAGGCACAGATTCATTTAAAAAGAAAAAATGCCTTTAAACATTTTTGTACGACGAGAGAAAGTTTGTAAGATCAGTGAATGCCTGCAGCAAATTCTCTCAGTAAGGCACATATTTTACTCCCCTTAGAGCACCTGGAAGAAACAATCCTATCAGAGTACTGACTTACTAGGTATCTAGTTGACTGGTGTATTCAAAACAGAAATGACAGCATAAAAGCTTTGAGCTGCCCTCTCTGCCTTGAATACACTAGCCCAGGGGTCTGCAAACTATGGCTTGATAGCCATATGTGGCTCTTTTAGTAAGTGCATGTGACTCTGAAGTAAAATTGAAAGACATTTACAGGATCGTATTCAAATCATGATCATTCATTTTTGGTGAAAAAATATATTTATGGCTCTCGAATAATTTTAAGATTGTTGTGAGGGACAGACTACCTGAAAATGTTGCCAACACCTGCACACTAACCCAAGAGATCCTAATCTATGAGCCCCGCTGGCCTAATAAGTTACAAATTAGGTTGCTAACTATAAGGTCAACAGTTCCAATCAACCAGTAGTTGCTCACATAACTTTGTGCTCTTGCAAAGGCTAATAGTCATGGAAACCCAGAGGTAGTACTACTCTGTTCTGTAGGATTACTAAGAGTCTCCAAACAGATTTAAAGACAGTGAGTATTTTTTTACAACGGGTAATCTTGAAAGATTTTCTTGACGGGCACAGGATGATCACAGCACCGTATTATGAAGAAGTTTGATGAATACTGAACACAGCACTGGTGAGGAAAAGGCCAGGAATGTTGAACCCAGGAATTTTGTTTGCTTCTTTGTCCCCATCCCCCAACCCCATCAACTCCATATTTGCTGGTTGCAGGGACTTTCCTAGGATGATTTCAATTAGAAAATGTATCTCATCCACCTTATAGCTATGGTCTTTACCCTTTCTGATTTCTTTTTGTTTCCACAGCCTAAAGAACATTTAAAAGGGACACAATTTAGGTTGCTCAAAGAAGCCCCAAACTGACATTTTTATGTGGTGTACATTAAGGTACACAGATTTCTTGAAGGACCAGTTACAAAGCCATTGTCCCTGCCATCAAGTCAGTTCCAACTCATAATGATCCCATTGGACAAGGGAGAACTACCCTTGTGGAGTTCTGAGATTTTAACTCTGTATGGGAGTTGAAACCCTCATTTTTGTGGTTTAAACTGCTTACCTTGAAGTTAGCAGTTCAACTCCTAGCCCCTATGCCATCAGGGATTTTAAAATATTGCCTTTATGTTTGTATGGACTAAGATGGAGGCCATTTTGGGGCAAAACTGTACAGATTGAAATTTTGGTTTAATAAAGAGTTCTATGATTAATACTTTTTGACTTATTCTATTATAAACCAGAAGTGATTTTATTTTTCCATTTTTAAATATTTATTTTAAGTCTATCAAAAGTATGAGGAACTGAATTAAATGAAGAAGCATTTCTGTTTTGGACAGGTTTTGCTTATTGTACTTTAAGATGAGATTCCTTGTTTAGTATTATTTTTCTCTCGGAAGCTCATACTAGGTATCTAGTGCATTTTATAAAAAGTTAAACACAAACAAGCAACGTATACCATGTGCCTATATTTTTATATGATTTCTTAATATGATTTCTGAGACTTAGATTCTTGTGAAAAGTAGCAAAATAGAGGAGCCCAAGGTGATCATATGTGTCTCTTTCTAAGCTACAGCAGGCCAACTAATTCAAGGAAAATATCTGTCTGCTACAGAGAGAAACTTGAGCAGACTTTAAGGTCAGGAGATGTAAGACAAGCAAGATATGAAAATAAATGTGAAAAAAAGCAGTCTGTCTTTGATATCTCACCATTTCATTTTCTTTCTCTCTCTCACATCTGAAAACATTGTCAAAGTTGCGTTAATTCTTGAAGTGTATTATAACAAGAATCCCAAATCTTGGGATGGATATGAATTTCTTTTCTATTCATGCATTAAATAACTGTTCATTGCATATACATGAACTAGCATTTTCATATGTATCAAGAAATGATTTGCTCCTGGTAATTCTAACTCAGGTAAGCATAGAGAATACCCTCTTTAGATAATAGATCACATAATGGAATTGTGAATAGATGTTTACTTCTGATTTATGCTTGAAGAGATCAAGACAAGTGAAGATGATCTGGAATGGTAGTTCAGACAGCAAAACAGTTTTACTGCCACTTTAAATTATTTCAGTGCACACGTGAAATTATTTACTAAGGCCTGGATTAATTAGGTGATGTTTGCAATGTATTGTAACCGTAGCCAGAATTGTAAGGTCAAACAAGTCTTTAGGACTTTTAAAATTATTTTATATTTTTTTATTTATATTTATATTTAATTATTTATATATATATCCATTTTGTCAAACACATCTGTATAGTACATACATTTTCATCATTTTTTCAAAACATTTTCTTTCTACTTGAGCCCCTGGCATCAGCTCCATATTTTGTCCCCTCCCTCCTCCATGCCCCCTTGATAATTTATAAATTATTCTTTTTTTAATGTCTTACACTAACTTCTGTCTCATTTCACCCACTTTTCTGCTGTACGTCCCCATGGGATGGGGACCATATGTCAATCACTGTGATCAGTTCCCCCTTACCCTCTTCGTATCGCAGCTCTCCTTATTGGTCTTGAGGGGTTTATCTGTTCTGTATTCCCTGTGTCGTGAGCTCTTATCTGTACCCATATGCATGTTCTGGTCTAGCCAGATTTGTAAGATAGAATTGGGGCCATGGTAGTTGGAGTGGGGGCATTAAAGAAGTAGAGGAAGGATGTATGTTTCATCAGTGCTATACTGCACCCTGATTGCCTCTTCTCTTCCTTGTGTTCATTCTGACAGGGGGTGTCTAACTGACTACTGGTGGGCTTTGAGTCTCTACTTTGTCCTTTCCTCATTCCCATTGATATGCTTTTGTTTGTTTTGTTTTGGGTCTTTGATGCCTGATACCTGATTACATCAACATCTCATGACCACACAGGCTGGTGTGTTTCTTCCATGTAGGCTTTGTTGCTTCTCAGCTAGATGTTATGAATTTATCTTCAAGCCTTTAAGACCCCAGATGCTATATCTTTTGATAGCCGGCACCATCAGCTTTCTTCACCATATTTGCTTATTTGTACTCATTTTGCCTTCAGCAATCATGTCAGGGAAGGTGAACATCTAAAAGTGCCCTGTATGTAGAACAAATTGCTCTTTCAATGAGTGAGTACTTGAGTAGAGGCCCAATGTCCATCTGCTACCGTAATACTTTATAAATAAATATATGTACATAGCTCTATTCCCCTGTCATTGTATATAAATATATTTACATATGTTCATGCCTGTATTTAGACCTCTATAACTGTCCTATGCCTCCCAGGTCTGTCCTCAATTTCCTTTTACTTTCCTCCCATTCCACTATCATGTTCGGCCTTCATTCGGGTTTTGGTAATTCCTCTCGGCTACATTGCCCATGATCGAGCCTCCCCAAGCATCCTATACCCTCTTCATCATCAATTTTAGATCACTTATTATTCTTCCCTTGTCTCTTAGTTTGTTGGCACCACCCTCCTTTTCCCCCATCTCTCCCTCATCTGTGTCCCCCTGGAAACATCAGTCCAATTGTTCTCTCCTCCGGATTGTTCATCCCAACTATCTTGTCCAATTAGACATGCATAGACAATAATACATGCAAAAACAAAGCATAGTAAAACATAACAAAAGAGAGGACAAAAATAAATCAGCAACACCTAATACAACAGAACAAAATCATTGTATTACATACCACATACTCCATATAGATATAGTCATCTTAAAAGTGCGTATATGGTTGGTATGTGCTCAGTGAATGGATGAAGAATATTAAATCATTACTAAAAATTAATCCAGTTAGATATTTGTATTTACACTTAGTGCATATTTGATTCACATTTGATTAAAAGTGTATTTTCCACACACTGTACTAATTTCGACCAATAGGAATTTCTGCTCCATAATTTCATGCTATCCAAATTAGCGACATGAACTTATACTTCTTTGCTGAAAAAATGAATAACTCATTTATACATGGAACAAAAGATTACATTATTCTCACAGAAGCATTGTGCAGTAACATCTTGTATTTTGGAGAAAGCCTTCTCCCTGTCATCTACCTGTCAAATAAAAGTTCTTCCACACAACGCTGATCTGACATCTATCACTAGAGGTATGCTCAGAGGATTCAGCACAAAGACTTTTGCCAACT